GAGTAATATATAGAGCATGATTGCTGCCTGCTGGTTTCTTGCATGGTTTATTCTTCTAACCTGAAGATGAAGGGAGTATATTCTTCTGCAACTTTGGTTAGCTTTCACCAGACTATGCAGAGACAGAATATTTTCAAGAAAATAACTGATCGATAAAATATTTCAGTGTGGTGGAATGTCTATAAAAGTTAATCCATGCAATGGGCAATAGTAGAAATGTAAATTTGGCCCTGTACTTAACTAATTATGCACTATGCTATGAAGACATATGGGGGAGTTCAGGTATACTTCCATCATTCCTGACCTTGGCACTAAATGGGGATGAGTGGCCACTTTACATCCTCTCCCCTGAAAGAGCCCCCAGTACCCATTAAATAGGTGGCTGGGTGGGCCCCAGTGCTGCTCTAGATGATGTGGAAGGAGATTCATAATTTTGTCAATTCTTTTTAAATTGGATCAGGCCAGAAGAGCTAATCTAAAGCCAGGTGAAGCCATCCCAGTCAGTGCACAGATTGTGGCAATGGTTGCAGGGAAGTATTCACACAAATCCCATTAAAACCTAAGAAACCGAAATGCCACAAAACTGTGCACCTCTTCTGTCAAGTGCATGCATAGGTGAAGGTCACTGGATAAAACCGTGAAATTTGAGGAATCTGCAGAGTTGTGCAGAAGAAAAGAAGAATGCTGAATGAGGCTATCTTGTGCCTCAGTGCTGTTTGGGTAGAACTACACTCATCATATCAACCACTGATGATGGAGTTGGAGACATTCCACATGTTCACGTGGCTGACTGGCTGAGAAGCCTTCACTCAGTACAGTCATGGAAAAGATACAAATCATAAGTATTAGGACTGTTTTCAAAACTAAATGTAACCTGTAAGATTTGAGGCTTTCACGGCGGTGACTATGAAGAAAGCAGTCTTCTGGGATTTGGCACCATGTATATGTGGTGTTAACACCACATATACACGGTGCCAAATCCCAGAAGACTGCTTTCTTAAATGTAACCTGCTTGGGTTACTGGTGATGACTAAACAAGAGAAGGATATTGTCATGTATTAGAGTGACTGTAGATAATTAATTTACTGGAATCTTATACAACTCATGACTGCACTTTATAAATCACTATCATGTGCAGACTAGTAGCCACTGCTCGGTAGCAGCTTCCAAACAGCAGATATTCCCCTTACACTGGATTCCTGAACTACCCCAGTGCGTCTGCTACCAGCATCTAACAATGATTCACAACGACTGAACTGCACTAGTGCTCAGCTGGTTGCTCAGCAGTTCACTTCACTGCACTCACTAATTTCTCACTAACCGTCCTATTCATGATATCTCGGTACAGACTGAACAGAAAGCACCACTCCTCTGTTGTAGCCTTGCAGATTGCATGCCATTGCCTAGTGACGGCCGTTGTCTAGTTCTTTGTTATGCCATCGTTGCCTAGCCAGGGATCTACATGCCGCATTGCTTCCACCATAAGGCTGTTTATCTCGAATAGCCTACAGGCATACCGACATTTCTTCTTTCCAAGGGCTGCGCTTTGATCAGCCTCGCCTTTGCTGTGGCTCAGTTCTCATGGTGATTACTCTTCAACTGCTCCTGCTACTCCCTCTTTAAAGCCGCTCATCCCAAGCAGTTCCTTAATAAGGTGCAGCTGGTTTAGATGTACCACAATCAATCTCAATCGAGGATTTCACTGGATCCTGTATGCCACATCATTTATCCAGTTGACTAGCTTGTACTGGTCCTAGTGAATGAAAATTTGGAGCATTTAGGTGGAAATCTCTGAAGCAAAAATACAATATAAGGCAATTTATTTCATTGAGACAAAGAGTTGCTGGATTTTTCAGAAATTTGCCCCTATTTAAAGAAAAAAGTTGCATGTTATTAATGGTTTATATATAGAACAAATATCTAAATACACTGTAAAGATGTTAACTAATTGGTATGAACAATTTGAGGGCTGAAAAATTAGTATTTCGCCCATACAGTGTTAAATTATGTACGGACATTCAGCAGAATTTGTCCTTATGAAAATGAACATGAATCTATGCAAGTATATTATGGAATATGAAAATGTTCAAAGTAAATCATTAGTACAGTGTCTGATGTTTACAATGCACCAAGGCCTATGAGGATGGAAACCAAATGTATCATTAGAAATAGGCATTGGAGAACAAATCATTCTCTTCTCAAGTGAGAAACATTTTAGCCTAATCCATGAACTGGTTACATAACAAGTTGCATTATTGTGCTCAGTTGTGCCTGAGAACAAAATGTTGCTTCATATTAGGACATGTACACTCTAATCTGAAATGGTATGATGGAAAACAAATTCTGTTGGTTCAATTCCCCCACTCCCAAAAGAGCATCAGTATGTGGCAGGAATGTCGGTGTAAAAGGAGAAACAGCCGTGTGATGGTGTATGATGCTTGCACACTCACAGTCACTTTCTGTATAAAAGTTCTTTGCTCCACGTCTTATGGCACAGTAACAGTACCAAAACACAGACAAGTGCTGCT